GACAAATATGGAAAAAAATGCAGGTAAGCATGCATACTGCAAGGTTTTTTGTAATTTTTTTTTTCCTAAGACAGTTTACTTATGAGGAAGTATTTCATTTTATTTCACAAGTCTATGCAAACTACTTACATGAAAAGTATTCAAAAGACAGCCCTTCTGAATAGTCAATCACCAGGAATTACATGCGAGATGTAGCTTTCGTATGCGGGTTAAGACTTTCCACATACAAACAATGCTGCAATCCTCCTTTATAACAGAAGGGAATGGATTATTAGAATGCTATTCCTAAAACATTCTTCATTTGAAAGTAACTATTTCATTAATAACACTGTTTTTAAATGAGTCCTTCTGAAAGCAAGCTTTGAAGATCATCCAAAAGGAGCTTATATGCATGCTTTGTTTTCATTGCTAAAGTCATCCCCAATGAACACTACTCAGGTCTATGGTTTAGGTATGTGTAAAGCGTGATGAGGATTCTGAAAAGATTTTTTTTATCGAAGAAGCCGCTCAACCTCCTTGGACTTGCTTTCTTTTGTTTTCCTCAGTAATGCCTGTTTTATAGCATTGATCTTTTCATCAAGTTCAGCCAATGAGTAGTTCTGCTAAAAGAACAAAATAAAAACCACAATCATTTACATCTTGTAATTGCTAGAGAAGTGGCCTAGCACTTGATACTTGAGGTCACTGCGTACTGCACTAAATGATAGAAATACTTTTGCAGAATTGTCTGAATCTAGTCTACGGCTATTTAAACTTGAAAGAAAAAGAATGTAAACTTAGAAGAAACTGACAGTCCTAATCATGGATCAATATATCCATGCTACTTCCATTAGATGCTTGCTTAACCTATTCATAAAAAACCCAAAAATCCTTTGATGGTAAAACACTGGACGAGACTATCTAGATCTTGTAGAACCCAGCTCTACAACTGAAGGGGTTTATTTCACCCTATGGAGGATTTTTTTCTTGTGGAAACAAGCCTACTTCCTCAAACCTCAGATGGCCCACATCCCATTCTAAGCATTCTCCCCAGTCCATCTGTCTCCGAGTGTGATGGCTGGTAGGAGACAAGTGTTCCAGCTACGGTCTCACTTGCACTGATGAGAAATTCCCTCTTGTGGCCTAAGGTACACTGTTAATGCATTCCCTTATGTGATGGTGTTGTGAAAATAGCAAGTCTTACTAATTTAGGTTAATATCTGCTATAATGTCAGGTGTTTCTGCAACACTTTTGCCAAGCCAGCCATTTCTACTTTTATTGTCTCTTCATAAACCAATAAAGCAAATAAAAAAAAACCCAACACCAAACCACAAAACAAAACCAGAAGCCATTACTAGGAGGCCGATCAGAATTCACAAATTTCTTGTTACCCCTAGCTTGATTAACATCATTACAGATTTATTTTATTCTATCAACCTTCTAACTGGTGAAAACACTAACCTACCCTAGTACAGACTCTTAGAAGACTCATTTCATTGTGACACCCATTAACTCTTTCTCCTTCCCACTCTTTCTTTGCCAGCAAGCTATCCAATACTGATGCAGCTATTTCTGAGAAGTTAGATATTTGCTTAGTAGAGCTTCTGATTACTTTTCACTCAAAACATCCTAAACTTAAGGTAAACAAAAGTTAACAGCACTTACGTGGGGAGGTTGAACCTTTCTCCTCTTGCCAGAACAGCTCTAAAGAAAAGACATAATCAAAACAGACTTAATGTTGCACTGACAGAGGACCACAAGTAATTCTGTAACATTGACAAGAGTCTTTAAAGTACAGAAAGAACAGTGACTGCCATTCCATGGATTAAAGAAATCTTTTTATAATTAAGTGTACTTTGGATCACGAGAAATACTACTGAAGAGCAGTCAGAAGCGGTTGAAGCTTCTCCATACTTGGCAGCCAACAACTATCAACTTAACTGAAGCTTCCTTCAGACAAAACCAAGATCAATATCCAGCTTTTGAAACTGTCAATATTTTCCTCCCTAAAATTCTCCTGTATCTACACCAATATTTATGCAAAACTTTGGGTAAAAAAAAATGCTAATTACTGTACAACACTACTATTGCCACCATCACAAATTTTTCCCAGATCCCCATTCTAGAGAAGATCCTAAAGCACTTCCCGTGGAAATTTCAGCTTATGAAAGTGTATGTTTTAACTTCTGGTTTCCAACAACTTGAAGAAACAGCTTCACAAATAAAGGCCTTTATTGGTCTCCAACACAAACAAAAAAATGAAACAAAAATTTATAATATCACTATTGATTTTTAAATGCTGACTCTTCTTCGGCTGCTCTCAAGGGAGAAGATACTGTTGATCATATTTTAATTTATAAAAGAGGCATTCTTACTGTTACATGGGAAAAGAAGGAAGAGCAAGATAACAGACAAGAAATTTCTATAGCCAAGCAGAGCCTGATGTAGTAAAAACTAATGTTCTCTTTGTCCTAATCTCCTTTGGTGAATGAAGGATAAGGTTTACTATTCTGAAAGAGAGAGAACTCTGCCCGAAAACTAGCAGCAAAGAAATCTAAGTCATGGAATCACATGAAACAATTTTTAAAGGGTTTACTCTCTCATCCTATTGGAACAGTTATTTCACATAGCTGATCTTTAGTAATCAGATCATGGACAGAAGCCCAAAGGATTTCAGTTGATTTAAGCCATTAATGATTTGTACTGAGATCAAAACTTTAGTAAATTTTCTTGTCATTAGAAACACTTCAGATTTTAAGGCGGGGGCAAAGGGGGAGAAATCCAATGTCTATAATACAATTCTTACAAATTAGTTAAGCTCGGGTGGCTGCAATCTTTTTCCCCCAACAAATACTATTTTCTCTAATGAGAAACTAGGTAGAAACGTATGAACGTATATAGATGGTCCACATGAAATGTAACCATTACACAAAGCCAGAGCCGTCTACAGAAGTGTCTGCCCTCTAACTCCTTAGGGTTTTGCCTCTACATCAAAGATTTAAGCACAAAAGTCCCGAATGCATTTAGGTATGCTAGAAGAAGTTGAGAGAATTTCTTACTACAGATTGAAAATATTCAGGAGACAGTCCTTCCAGCTCAAGGATTTTATCTTCAAGCTTCTTAATTCTCTGATAAATGTCTCTTGGTACAGGACCACCTAAATACACCAGTACAAATACAAAGAAATTGGGAAAAGCACTTGAATAACTTTTTAAACTAAAGATTGAAAGTTTTACAGGTGAATTCTTCAAGTCCAGCTATCAACCAGTAGCTGAAACAAAATGAGTTGATGGGATAATAAAAAGGAAGGGTAATTAATATGATTCAGGGTAAAACCTAATTGATAAGCCAGTGCAGTCAGTGAAGGCAATAGACAACTTTATGCAGGTGGTTGAAATATGTCTGACAAGGTCCCTGGAACAACTAATGATCACTTTTACAATACACTGGTCACACACCAAATGTTACCACTTCAAAACTGCCAGCAGCATCAGGAGGGAGCAGATGGGATGGCAGACCACACATGAATTCAGTATTGATATCTAAGATTGTTCTGAAGGAAACCTATCTCTACTGAGCATCAGAGGTTAGAGGACAGGTATGAGTTGTGCTTGACAATGAACAGCATTTGCCTGGCCATAGATGGGAGCAGCAGGGGTGGGGAATGTGTGTGTGGAATAGAGCAACAGAGCTTTGGAAAAAAACAACCAAACAAAGCCCTCCCCCCTCCAAATAAAACCCAAAAAACCCAAACAAAAACCCCAACAAAACCTACAAACAGCACAAAAACAACAGCAACAAAAAACCCCACCTCAACCCATTTGCTGTTCACAGCTATACTACAGCAGCTTGGGCTTGTTTCCCCATGTAAGAACAGAACTGATCAAAAGATCAGCCTTAGAAAGCATCTTATTCATACTACATAGTATTCTATAAACTGAAATCACTGTTTATCACAAATAACTACTGGCTACCCCAATTAAAATGATAGTCTGGTTCTGAACAGTAGTGACAACCAAGGCCTTAGCAAGCTTTTACTTCTTCTCTTGCCACCCATTTCCATTTATTTCTAGGTCTGTTAGGTAAGACAATTCTATTCCACAAACTACTGAAATAAGCACTAATGAGTTCTTTTGCTATTCATCTATTTCCTCACTTCAGACAGACAATTTTGCGGGTAGCTTCCCTCCTTCAGTTCTGCTCTCTACTCATCACTCAGCAGCTACTAATTAAATCGGCTAACCTCTGACTCTTCTTAATATTGCTGCCTCTTAATGTAAAGGGAAAAGAGCAGTACCAGCACTAGACGAAGCTGTTCTGAAAAACAGTAGATGAGTCAAGAACAACTCTTTCAGTCATCAGAAACAAAAAATGGCGAGCAGGTAGCTGAGGCAGGTTACCATCTCAGATGAATACTTTTTGCACAGCTGCTGGGCTAAGTAACAAATAATCTTGAGACCTTCCCCAGGAATGCTGATTTGGACAGGAGTTGAGCTGGAATTGCACACTTTCATCCTCTTCCCCTATACTGTAGTTTAGCTGACCTGCTCCTTCAAACAAAATTATGACCTATTATAGGCACAACCTGGAAGCAAGAGCCCCTCCTTAGCTATCCCCAATCATTTTCTCTGATATGTATAAACTCCAAAGCTACTACACATTATAACCTTAATGCTGGCCAGCCACTTGCAAATTTTATTTCCATGCACAAAAACCACCTCATTTTTGAGACAGCTATACAGCTAAGAGTCAAGCTCTGACTGCTGCCTCAACAGTATCTAAGAGTATTCTACTCTCCTTCCCGCCAAAGGACTTTGATCCAGTATGCATTCACGGGAATCCACTAACCTAGTCAATGTTCACCATATTCTTAGAGAATGGATTGGCATCTATTCAGTATTCAGAAGACAAAAAAAGTCAGTGTGTGTCTGTAGTGTGATGTGTAGAACATTCACTTTATTAGGTGAAGATCTGGGCTTCTGTTCCGTTTTGAAAACATTTTTCAGGAAAAATACAGATTCCTCCTTGATAAGTGCCTCATTGATTTATATTCTAGAAAACTGGGGCTGGGGTGAGGAAAACAACTACTTTTAAAAAAGTCAGTAGCCTGGTGGCTATGGCATTTATTTTAGTGAAAGGTGTGGACTCATGTTTGCATGGCTAAAGGGATGACAATGACTTTTCCACATTCTGGGAAACAAGCTTCTCACCTAACTGTATTTCAAGAATCATCCACCTTTAGGAAAAGGTATCAGGTTGTATTTTGGGTTCATCCTATCCCCAGCCCACAAGGTGTCCATGAAGCAGGACTCAGTCCTAACCTCAGCTTTTCCTGTTCAGTGAGCCAAGGCAGAGGGACTCCACTGGCTGTGGAGAATTCCTACCTGTTTTAAATCCCATTCTGAATGCCTCTCTTTCGTTTGCCACCACATCAAGTGTAGATTTACTAACTCAGCATCCTAATTTGGGCATAAATCTGGGTTCCATTTTGGGCATAAGAACCTAAACATTAGATTGTAGCACTTGGGATGACTAAACCCTTTAGTGGATCTATCCACTGTTTTTACAGTCACAGTTTTTATAGAGTTGCAGTTTTACTACAGTAATGATAACTGTAGTACAAACTGGCACACCGATGTCAAAATTAAACCATGATACAAACCTGTTTGTAACCGTAAGTGTGCTTCAATGTTTTGCAATCTCTCCTCAACAGCTTGGTTTCCACAATCATGAATGGGTACATTGGCTTTGTGACTGGACCCATGTACTCCTTCAGATCTAGTCTGAGGTCCATATGTATTTACTACCCTAGAAACTAGGTAAAGAGAACACAAATTTAACATATATGCACATGAAACATGAAGTACATCTAACTAAAACAATCAAAATATTATAATATGAAAACCCACGTTAAATCAATTTCACTCCAGTTTCTCACGTGGAGGGTCTCACAGACATTAAAATCGAAGGTTCAAGTAAAAGTATTTTCCTACTTTTGTATGGGTAACTAAACTAAAAAAAAAAACCTAGGACTTTACATATGCAAAGTAAAAGAATTACTCATACATTCATGTAGAATGGCAGTATCAAGAATTTGTCATCAGCTGCTGGTAAATAGCAGAAAACCTGCTATCTATGTCAGCAGTTGCACATGTGAGCTGTTGTGAATGCAAAGAGGAGGCCAGACCTAGTATTACAGGAAGCCTCATAAATACGTGAAGATGAGGGGAGGTATACAACTAAAAGAACCGCTACGAATTTCAGCAAGGAAGTTCTCTTCTAATTTTTGTTATTTGGGAAACTGCGGGTAACAGCTTTAATGACTCTTCAGCTGCTTCTGGGTCTATCTTCTCCCCCTGCTGCACTGTGTCTTCATCAGAAGATTTTGGTCACTTGTCTTTAAGTCACAGTCATTTCTCAAGTCCTTCCTGACAGGACTACTGCAGCATACTGCACACTTAAAGACGACGTTGGCAATTCCAGACACTGAAGCACACACCTTCTTAGTACTTCACGAAGACCACATGTTACATTCTTGCTTCAGCTTATGCTGGTTTTACTTCCAATTCCTTTCTAAGTGTTACTCACATTTCAGTTATGAACTGTCTGGGTTTTAGTTACTTGAAGTGCAAACTTTTCTTTTTTCCTGTAATACGCTACTATCCAAGTTACAAACTAGCACTCAGTTTAAAAAAGTGACTACCAAAAGGGGTTCTTGGTGAAAGATTCTGAACTCAAATTCACTTCCCCACCTCCCTCTTAGCTCACCAAACCTTTTAATGCTTATACCTATCATCGTGCTTCACAGTATTATTCTGAATTCTAGAATTCAGAATAATGAATTGGTTTCTAGAACCAATATCAAGTGGATAACTGAATACTACCATTCTCAAAAACGGAAAAGAGGGTTACTTTCATTCTCATTTTGGAGATTTTGTTTGTTTGTTTTTAAACACAGAGTAACTTGTGTATGCCTAGAGAGCAGTAGATGGACAAGCAGTCTTTTATGCATAACTTCTTTTGGACAATCATCTCTACACTTACTCCTTTCCAAAAGGTAGTACAGTGGTAAGCTTGCTCCCCAGCTTGTCACTTCCCATAAATCTATGTCTCAGAACTTCCACTGTGTCCCAAAACTATTTCCTAATTCAATATACTTACACCAACTAATGAAAAGGAGAAAATAATTTTATTTAATCTCAATTCCTTAACTGGACTGCTGGCTTCACCTTAGAAGAAAAGCTAAGAATTGTTCAGCTTCTCTGTCCTGCTTTATCTTTTGCATCTTTCCTTTCAGACAATGAAAATGGCTACTTTGTTTTGGTCTTTAGTGTGTAACCATCATCTTAATGAAGCAGTTATGAGATTGAGAGCCTCGGAGAAGTAAGTGAAGATGAAAAAGTATTCACTAGAGTCAAAAATCAATACGTTAAGTTTGCATTTTTTGCGCATTCTATAAAAATTTTTTAAGTCAAAAATTCATCAGTGCTGTTCTACCTGGACACTCTAAATATATGGATATTAAAATAGTTTCTTACCCTTTATATGGCTTTTAAATCCAGGATAGGGTGTGAAAATTGCATCTGTTCTGGCACAGCTATTTTCTAAATAAATAATAATAATATAAAAAGTGAGGTCCTAATTATGTTTTTATAATTTAAAATATTCTAACCATCATCAGCTTTGAGGCTTTTAGCAAATCTAATTAACATTTTTCACACAATAAAAACATCAGAAATACTTCATTCATTCTATAAACACTTGCTCATTAATAGTGTCACACACTTGCATGAACCTACTGGTTTTAATTGGATAAGTCACTTATTTAAATGTATGCACACGTGTAAATAAAAGTTTATTGGATCAGGACTAAATTTCTTCCAATTTACATTTTATTTGGTTCTTACTTTTCACTGTGTTTCTCTAACTTATTTCTTTCTTCCTGTACAGAAGTCTTTTCCCTGTTTACCACTGTTATTCTGTTTTATGTCCTTTTTTGAAACTGTTCTCCTATTTTTAGACTGGTGTAGTTTACTCATCAGCATTCTTTTCTCACCTTCCTGCATTTATTCTGATGCCTGTGACTTCTTTCATTTGTTTAACCAAAAAACCTACAGTACAGACCATCTTAGTTTATTCTAATGTTTATATTTTAATCTCTGTTCATATACACCAAAGTTTTACACATATTTTATTATACCTGAACATACAAAGCAAGGTCTTATCATCATTTCTTCTGTACGCAATTAACAATTTTAGGAATCAGTATTTTACTATCTAGCATATTCTACTAGACTTCTGATGTCATTTTCATTCCAACTAATATTCAAGGAGTTAAACTCTCTTCCTGTAAAGCTTACGGAACAATAAGCTTTGATCTCTAAAAGCCTAAGCACATCACAGAGACAATGCACATCTGGGTTCACAGGTACTTAGAAAATGTCTCTGTACTACTTATGTACATAAAAGTGTCTTCACTTTTAAGATGCGTTTGGTTACAGTTACTGATCGTGCTAATGGGATCCAGCCTACCAGATGGATTTAAGATTGGTTATAGATACAGCCAATTGTGCCAGTTGGTGCATTAAAAACACCAATAGCGTGAGTAATGTTGAAAGGAAAAAGTTATTCTAAGTAGCTAGCAATTCAAATTGATTGCTAAAAATACTTCTTTGTAATTTACCTACTATTAAATTAACTTCAATTCGAATATGCAATTCACAAGACATTTCTGAACTGCAATTCTGTTGACTTTGGAAGTAACGTCTAGCTAAAACACTGGGAACAATAGCTACAAAATAATCTGATTTAAGATCTCAGTTCTCAAAATGAACACAGCAATAGCTATAATCTTTCTGTATGGGATGCATTAAACAGACAAAAAAAGAAAGTAGTCAATCTGACAACATCTGCAGAGCACATGCAAGTTCTTAACTTTAAAATAAAGTTACGCTTAAAATAAAGTTCTGTTTTCAATATAGAATAGTGCTTTTGAAAAATAAAAAAATAAAAAAACAACTTAAATTGCTATGAAGATTAAAGTCTGGCTAGCCAGTTACCTTGATTACAATCAATAACATTGCAAAATTCCCTGACGTTATTTTCATTGATCTCAGCTTGTTTCCTCTCGATGAAGGCTGATATCCGCCTGTCAATCTGCAGGTAATAAACATGATGGCATATATCTATTTAATTCTTTAAATTTAAAATTTAGAAAGGTCTTTTTGTTTTTAAATTAGGTAAATCACTTACTTCTGCTTTTCCAGCTTTTATTTGGACCACCTCTGGATCAAAATTAATATGAGCATCCTTCAGATCTCCCAATTCGTAACTTGCATATTTTTCTTCAGTCTGACAGTTACCATCATAAACATCTAAACTTGTTTCACAAGTTTGGCCTTCTGTTTTACCTGCAGGTTCAACATGGCCTATATTTTCCTCTTTAATCAATGACTGGAGTTTTTCTAAAAGAGGCTGAACACAGAAAACAGTATGTTAGGATTAAAAAAAAAAAAAAGCAGCCAAAAAAGCCCCAAAACAAAAAGCAAAAAGCCAAGTACTATTACAATTTCTAAAACAGACCAACTGAAATAATTTTAGGAATTACAACATCTGCCTCTGATGGAACACAGTAATAAAATTTTAAAAAAAAGAAAAAAGCTATCGTTCCAATACCATGCACACCATGACTCTGGCCTTTCTGACCTGTGCCTTTTAGAGGTTTGTATAGGAAAACTCCCAAATTTCGGCGAAAATCTGCCTGCTACTAGTCTGTTACTAGCTAAATCAAAGCATCAATCGTTGGCACCAATGCCACTTAATTAACATGTCATTCAAATGCCTACTCAGAACAGTAAGGCTTAGTATTTTTCCTCCTTAACATGAAAGCCAATGCTTTCACACTGTAAAGCTTTTACTTTATCACCACAGCACTACATTCTCCACTTGAAACTGCGGTTGCCCAAGTGAATGAGAGAACACAGACATGAAATATATAGGCGTTATCCTGAACACATGCTTTTCTTGACACGGTTGATTATCTACTTAGGTCATGAAATTAAATGAGAGAATGCACTGACATTTGTAGCAGCAAAAATAAATGCTTATTATTCTACTGCAATAACTCTTACACAAGATGTAATAACAAAACTTCAGTACATATATATGTCACACACCCTTTTTTAATTTTTACCAGTTTCATCTGGTCTGAATTCCGCTGCTTATTTTCCCCTCTAGAAATGATTTTTTTTTTTAAAGAAAACATGATTTTTACCAGTCACATTTCATGAAATGGAATCAAATTCCTACTTGCAGTGTTCTTACAGTTGGATGTAATTTTTACTTGGTTTTATCCTGCATATTTTCTCTTTTTGTTTATCACACCAAAGATTTGGTGGATATCTGGAAAACATAAAGGGTCTTTCTTTTACCTACAGACAAGCAAATACAAGAACTTCCTTTTTCACCCTCTCAGTACTACACACTTGAAATAATTCATTGACTAGCTGAAGCAAAAAACTGGTATTCAAATCCCCCCCTTTTACAGATGAACTATCAAGGTCAAAACACTGTTCAGTTACCAGCTGACAAACTGCTCACACTCCCTGCCATGCAACTAAATTACATGTACTTTTGGCAGGGTTGGAAAGTTTCAAATAGTTAAAAGAAATAACAGTAATGGTGACTGGCTACTTGGCAAGATGAAACATTAATGTCAAAGAAATTACTCTTTAAAAAAAAAAAAACCACTACGCTGAAAATATATTTAATTGCAGTAAGACACTCCAGGATGTGTCATGCTGGGATAATGCCACTTCTTGAACCACTGAAAGCACTCCATGAGCCTCAAAACTCACCCAACGCATGGAATCATTATCATAGCATGACACACACCTGCCGTGTCTTATTGCTTAATTATAACCCACCATAGATGGAAATGTATCACATTTACAATGCAAGTCTAGAAATCAATGAGGCTGCATTTATTCAGCCTGCTCACCTACAGTGGCTATTCCCATCACTAATCTGAAAACTCTATATGTGTGAGTACCTATGAAATACCTACAGTGGAATCCCAAGCGTATAATACTTTTGCATTCTTTTTTGTTGGACATAGCAACATAAGATCAAAACGACTGAAATTTTACAGTTTAGATAATATAACTACATTCAGTTGTTGATCACTTTTGTCAAGTCAAATGTGTCCAATGAAATATTTACCTGCAAACATAAAATATGCTGCTGAAGTGCACTAAAGAGCAATGTTGGCTGAAGTGCTGATATGCTTTGAAGCTTGCTCCAATCGATTACAACTTTCACGATATCGTCTCCAAGGTTAAGCTTCAAGAGGGCAAAACAAACACAACAAAAAATTATGTTGTTATGTTGTATTAAATGTCACAAAAGTATACAAGACTTCTACAGGACAACAACTATGCTCAATCTCGTATAAACCCCATTTTGATATGAGGACATTGGAGAGTTTTGACATTAATTATAATTCAAGCAGCTGTCATTTTCAAAGTAAGCTAGTATTTGTAGAGTATATTCAAAAATGAAAAATTCCTTACTACCTCATCACATTTTCATTGCGTTAACTTGATCTTCAACTTCAGTCAATTCTCAACTCAATTAACTATCGTATGAAAACATACTGTTCATGTTAATTGCTCAAAACTTTTCTTTTAACAAATGATAGAACCACCAGTAGGAAGAAACATGCACCCAGGATGGCAGTCTCCTGTAAGTTCATGTATTTTATACCGAGATTTGCAAGGCTATCTATGCCTGTATGACCAAGGTCTTCATACTGCACCATGCCACATTCTTGAAATTTTTACCTGCTGCTAATCCAAAGAAGGCTTTATATTAAAAATGTGTTTAAAAAAATAAATCTTTAAAAAATCTCGAGGTTAAACAAACTCTAGACTACACAGCACCGCTATCAAACCCATTTCCAAATCACACTATTTCCCTTTATATGCACTCAGATCGAAATAACAATTACCATAGTCTATTCTCTTTGCCAAGGGATTGCAATATTTAACTCCCAAAGCAATAGAGAGAAACACATGTAGTGAATCTGAAGTTTTATTTAAAGGAACTATGTATCTTCTATAAGCTAAAAATAAACTTTCACTTTCTAATACAAAGCTGATTGTTAATAATCACTAATGAACTACACACTTTCACACCCACCTTTGCCATTTTTTTTACACTAAAGCTCTTCTCAAGATCTTGAAGTAACGAGCACTTTCATTTCCCAAAGCCAAATAGGTTGCTCTCCAACCAAACAACCCGTAAATGATCCCCCAAATTCTGAATACAGCTAAAACTCTTGTTTAAAGTCAAGAGGACCTACAGGTACTCTGAGATACAGAATTCTCAAGTCATATGCATATGGACGTCTACATCTCATTCCTTGCCAAAAGAAAGAGACCTCAGGCAGATGACAAAAGTGACCTTTAACATATGGTCAAAAGATATCTAACTTCTAACGGCATCAAATATTATGGACAAGAACACAGAATGCATATGCACTTGTTTCCTGAATCCACCACACAGTGTACGAGGAAACAATGAAAACTAAACACAAGAATGCCTCCATCACTCTGAAGGCAAAGCAGTGGATACTAAATTGTTCTACGTTAGTTTTAAACCCCAGCACTATCACAATTTTGTGTGTAAAGAACTATAAGCCTCAGCCTTCCTTCTTTAGTCAAAGAACAGCCTTGTTAAATCCAGTGTCAGATTCCAAATTACATAGCAAAGGAGATGGTCTGACCAGATATATAATGTATTTTAGATAATTTTCACACAAATGGTTGTTCCTGTTTAGTACTTAAACTACATAGGATGTAGGAAAAATAATGTTTTAGGAAATAATAGTTTTGAACACCTTACAAAATCAAGAATGTATTTAGAATTTAGTAAGAATAAAACTTGAAGAATTAAGCCACTGTGCATATATGATCATCTGAAGCATGTATTTCTTCCCAAAGTTTCTAGAGTAACATCTGCTATACACTACATTACAGTCCACTGACAGGGTAGAACAGGCGTAGATATAAGTCATCGTAATGAAACAAAATAGGAGTCCTACTGCAATTTCCTAATAAGCCTTCTTTTTCAAAAAGAATCAGCTGTTGTGTGCCTTCATATCATAGCGTGACTCCTGTCCAGGTGGTTCAATGTACAAAAACAGTAGAGCTTCTGACTTTAATAATTTACAGGCCAGTGATATTTTAAACTCACAGACACTGTTTTTAAATATAAGTAAAGAACAAACCCCTCCTGCATCCAAACATGTTTCTAGAACAACAGAATTAATTTTCTCAGTGTTTCACATCCTCCTCCTGTAAGAACTGTGACAAATAGGTTCATAAATTCTGTGATTCGATAACTTCAAAACCTTTGTGTATTTACAAGTCCACAGCCTATTCTACAGCAATTTACAGGACCATAAGTAATTTCAGCCCTTTGAAATTGTTTTATGAAAGACACTGACTGTCACTTGGGGTTTAAAGAACTTTTCATGACCAGTCATACCGGTTTTAAGAGTTGTTATTTCCAGATGTCCTCCTAGTCACTATGCTGCAAGTGATTGCTCTAGCAAAAAAAATCCTGTGCCAGAAATATGCCTGTTTACAGTCCAACCTGCTAGCATAAATCCAACTTAAACTACTATGACGGATCACAAACTGTGACAGCTAACAATCTGGCACATGTTCACTCATCTCCATAAAAGGGAAATGGGGAATCAGTAGTTTCAGTCAAAAATGCAAGACGTATTGCTAGAGTCAGTAAGCTGCTAAAACACCACAGTTAAATCTACCAGAACTCAAGTGCTGGCAGACAAGAGCGTAACTCAACAACTGGAAACAATCATGACTTCTCAGCTAAGCTGGAACAACCGGACCGCTACTCATAGTTCAGTGCAGTGCACAGTAAAAGGGGTTTGTTGTCATGGAAAGGATACACTCTGAACCCCAATGGAGACAATTTTACTCTACACCATAACTACTGTAACTCTACTGAGGGGAAGTAGCAAGTCTAAACTGGTCTCTTGCAATTGCCTGTGCACACCCAAATATTGTTATAAATCACTAAGCTCTCTCCAGTGAAATGCTAGACATAGAGCAAACTTTGGAGAACAAGTAAGCTACTGAAGAGGAGAGAGAAACTAGAGTGTTTAATGTAGTTTTGAAAACAATTAATTAAGCTTGTGACGAGTATTCTAGTTAAGAGCTTAGGAAACTTCTTTATTATTCTTTGTGTTTTTCATAAATACAGGAGTTCAACTTTTCACTCATGCTAACATTGTAAGAACGACAGTATCGCATCTGGATAAAATGACAGTCACTAGTTCTTCACTGACTACATTTAGAATTTTCACCAGGAAAAATTATGGGATAGTTCGTCCTCAATACGTCGATAGTTTTCCTGTCTCAGTAATCCTATGAATCAGCGGTGTATGATCATCAAGTTGTTTAGCACTCCACTCCTGTTCAAAAGCTAGGGTAGCTTCTAATCACTTTAGAGACAGGAAAACTGAGACTCTTACTAGTCAGTGCCTGAATTTTTAGGCTCTTAATTTTGGATGACTTTTGTTTGAAAACAGAGACAATTACTAGCAGACTTTGAGCTCAGAAGCAAATATAATACACAATTCTATTCAGATGAGAGGTGAAATGCTCTAAAACATAATTTCAGATCAACCAGCAGCTACTACTAAACTGCCTCTGCATATAACAGAGTCCATTTCTGAGTATTTTTGTAACATAAACATATATTAAGTTATATTATCTCCCACAGATATCGCTCATCATGTGGCCCCAAACCTTCAAACTGCTGTCTAATTTCAGAAGCAAGAGTGTGCTTCTACTGCCTTCTCAGAACTACATATATGCTTCCAGAGTGGAAAAGGAATTAATCTGTGAATTATTTATGGTAATAATTGTTACTAAAACCTTCTCCTGATAAGGGCCTCCCACCAGTACTGTAATATCTGTTAAATAATTCATAGCCATTACTAAACCTAAAGTAGGTGTTTCAACTTAAGTACCACAGAGCAAAGCTGCTTTAAAAATTCTGACCCACTGAGATGCAGTGTGTTTCATAGTATGTTACCAAGGCAAGTCTAACCTCAAGCTCCTGATCATTTATTCTGATTTAATGTACAGTAATCTTTTAGTACCTTTTCAATTCAGAATCATTAATTGGTTAGATACAGCAATTAGACAGACTGCAGTTTCTCATGGGAGAGATCATCCGTCAAACTACACAGTGACATGAGACGTCCCGTCACCAAGAAGCAAAGGCACGGCCACGACTACGAAACGCAGCAGCAGGCCACGCACCCTGGGGCTGCCCACGCCAGGCGGGATGCCGTCGGCACCGCCCGCCCCCAGCCCCGACAGGAGTTTCACCGCTCCCGCGGGCAGGCGCGAACAACCTCCAGAAGCAGGGCCGCTCCCCCGTTTGTGGCAGGCTTCTTTTCTCTCCGACGCCGTACTTTATCCCTGGAGGCCAGAAGGGCCCCACAGGCCGGGGAA